TTTCTAGAGAAGACAATTCCTTCACTCTCCGTTATCCATGCATTCAACATTGCTCATTTTCCTGGGGCCTGGTGACTTGTCCTCCAGTAGATCCCTTGATGACTCACTCAGGCCCCTGATGAGCTTGCCCCACAGGGACACAGACATTCTGAGGGGATCCCTATGTCTCCAGCCCAGCTGGGACCCTCACTCATTCTGCAATTCTGCAAAAATTCTGGGCTGGCCTGAGGTTAGTTGGAGGTCTGGAGAGTAGGCAAAACCAGAGGTGCAAACACTGGACGGGGAGCCAGCAGGGCCTTGCCCTTCAAACATCATCCCTCCAAGACAACCTTTCCTTCAGAGGCCACTCTTCTCAGACTATGATCAGTTTTATCTGAACCCTCAAATGTTTTCTTCTTTCCCCACCTTCTCTCTGAATGTCTCAAGTGTGTTCTGCTTTTTTAACAACGCAGTCTAAAACATTTGCACAAACGTTACCTGATTCATCTTCCCAGCTGTCTACAAAGAGATTAGACAAGGCCTACATTCTACAGATTAGTGGAGTTCACAAAGGTTAAGAAATTTGCTCAAGATCCCTTCAAACCTGGTTTCTGGCTCCTGGAGGCAGGGAGTGGATGTGGCTAGCCCACACTGGTGGCCTTCCTGGCCCCGTGAGAGCTTCAGCATATGTAGAGTTATAGAGCATCCTTGGGCCCAGAGTGGGCTTCCAAAGAACGTAGCCTTTGTCTGCAGGATGTTTGTTTGGCGCAGCTGATGGGAAGACAATTTGTTCTAGACTTTGGCCTCATTTCTCTAAACCATTCCCCAGGCACTAGCAGTGGGCAGGAACCTTTGCTGCTTTCTCCCGTTCCAACTGGCAGCCTTTGTGTCCTCTCTGCCTGTCAGATTTGGGGCAGGGCTCCTGCTGGCTTTGACTATCACTGGGTTCCCAGCACATGGTACTTAAGACTGAAAGAACACACAGAAAAGGCCTTCTGTCCTTCATGGCTCTATAGCCACTTTAGAAAGCTCTTCCGTATTCTCCCCTGAGCTCCTACAGTACTCCCAGTATCCTGGCCACACATGGGTAGGTGGCATGGAGTGGAGGAAAGGCTAATGGATGAGAAGTCACACATGGTTCAAACTCTGGCTCTGATTATTTTGAGTGAAAAATGGGCATAATGGAGCCATCTTGTGGGTTGGTAGTGAGGATGAAGGGAGACCGTGGGGGAAATATGCACTGTTAGTGTTGCTCACTCAGCTATAGCCCAGGGGCTCTCTGGTGCAGTGCCCAGGCAGGCCACACACAGATGTTTGAGCAAGGCCAGCTTCTGGGACCTTCCAGAGCAGGCCCAGTGCAGAAAGGCTGAGGAGAAAGAAGAGTCTGAGGGGAAAGCTGAGCAACTCCAAGTACCAGGCGCAGCTGGAGGGAGCTCTGCAGAGTTGTGATGCTTCGAGATTGGGTTCTGTCCCCAGCATTAGGTGGCATCAGCAGGCCCAGGGGCATTGGGGCTGGAAAGACTGTGGCAGCAGGGCTGGGGTGGTTTCAAACATGCCTGTGGGTCTCTGGTAGAGTGTGGTGCAGGGAGAAAAGGCATTTGGGGTGAGGAGAGTGGAAAACGAGCCAGCCACAGGCTCAGAGAGTTTTATTGTCTTTGACTTCCTGTCCCTGGTTCCAGGACTCCTGCTCAAGTATAGGCTGGTGAGTGATAGGCAGAGAGCTGAGAGCTCTGCTCCCTTGATAAAGATGCAGAGTCCCTCTATTCCTGAGGCCTCTGGTAGCCTCCACTCTCTTACAGATTTCCCAGGAGTCCAGCACCTCTCCCAGCCCAGTTCTGATTTTCAAGCTGAGATGAGACTGGGGACCAGCACCACTATCTTCTGGTTGTTTCCATGAACCTTCCAGAGCATGTGCTGAGTCACATGGAATCTCCAGGAAGTCAGGCAACCTGTTTCCACTCAGAGGTTTGCAACTTTGAGAGAACTGGATTTTGGCAACTGACTCCTTCCTACCCCTGACCCAGTGTGAAATCCAATTTTATTTATTTATTTTTAGAGACAGGAAGAAGGGAGGGAGAAAGAGAGGAAGAGAAACATCAGTGTGAGGGAGAAATATCCATCGGTTGCTTCTCACATGCCTGCAACCCAGGCATGTGCCCTGACCAGGAATCGAACAGGCGACCTTTCAGTTTGCAGGCCTGCATTCAATCCACTGAACCACATTAGCCAGGGCTGAAATCCAATTTTTGTTTCAGCTGTAATTGCCTTTAGCCCCTCTTATTGACAGCTTGTGACCTGTCAACTGCAGTTCTTAGCTCGTAAGGCACCAATGATGTCCTTTCCCTCACAGAGCATAGGATCACATAAAAGGGAGAACTTTCTCAGCTTTGGAGAGCAGGCAAAGAGCTCCTGGAGCAGACAGTGAACACTCACGGCCTCAGGTTTGCGGATGGCTCCTCTTACCAGTTCATTACAGGTAGGAAAGAGCCACGTTCTCTGTGGCCTGGATTGGAAGAAGCCAGCCGCCAGGCACGGGGAAGCCAAAGGCCCTATCCAAATGTTAGTGGTCTATCACCTCTGGACCATCCAGAATCAAAGAGAAGCCACTGAGGGAATTTACAGGAATAGATCTCATGCTGGGTAAAATGATGGATGGGAAATAGGGTGATTTCTCTCCAGGCTTTCCAGTTATACCAAAGGACAAAGTGACCCTGCATTGGAAGAACTCAAACTGTCTTTCTGTGGTTTCTGATTAGAGCAACCTTGAACTGGTCTGATCAGGCAGGCCTATATCCCTTCAGGGCCCCAGGTTGGCTACTTGTGCCAACAGAGCCTTGGACAAGCCTATGGGACATGAGCAACCCAAGCCTAGTTTATCCCATCTCTGACTTGAGAACTCAGCCATGATTGCCTCTTTTTGGTTCCTTTCCCCCAGAAGCCAGTGTACTGTGCTCACAGCTAGGAAGGGCAAGTCCCCAGGCTCCTTCCCAGTGGGCAGGCTGAGGACCTGTGCAGGCAGAGCCTGTATCCCTGGGGGCTCTAAGGTTGTGTTGCTAACCTTTCCTCCCAGGCCCAAGCAACACAGAGAAAGCTTTGGAGCCCACACAGAAATGGGCTTTACTTCCTTATCAACACAGACCTCAAGTCTGGCTATCACTTTTCTGGAATGTGCCGTAAATAGCACGTCTGCCAAGTCCAGAGTGCTTGCTAGTGGAGAGGAGCAGAAACGCTGGGCTGGAGACAGTATCCACTGAAAGGGGCTTAGAACTCTATAGTCTGGTCTAAATTTAGAGTTTATATGTTTGCACTTTCATCCATTCTACTCTTAATAACGTGGCAGCTGTTGCTACCACTGCCAACTGCTGACTCTTCCTGAATAAGCCAGGTGGTCTCCTGTTACTGAAGTGTCTGCATTAATTAACTTGTCTGCCTTTTTGAGGACTCTGTGTATGACCATGTACTTTAAGCGTGTGAATTCTATAGCAGATTATGCTCAACAAGGCCCTGTTCATGCTCATACTGTCTGCACAGATTGGAGATTTCTACTGGGGTCAGCCACAGCCAGCTAACCAAGCCTCCAAACATACAATACAAATCCAGGAAGGCTGTATAGTTACTGGCCACCAGGGAGCAATCTCACACAGCAAACCTGCAGCCTTCTGAGCTCTGGGGAAAGCAGAAGGCTTTTATTTTTTCTTCTAGGACTAGTTTTCTCAGATTAGGGAAGGAATGAACAGAAAATATGTTTCAGATTAGCAGTTGATGAATATCCAAGAAGACATGAGTCCCGGGGGTAAGACATAACTGTCTGAAACTGAACCCGCCCCAGCATGTCAGTGTGGGAGAGGCACTGAAAGGACAAGTGCTAGTCTGGTTTTTGGAGTATTTTAAAATGAATTTATTTACACAGTAACATGCCACAGAGAACATAGCAAAGTACCACAGCAAACCAAAGGGTGGCGCTACCTGGTAAAAGAGGGGACCTTTCATTGGTAGATTTATACAACTCTAAAATACGCAAATAGAAAGGTGAGGCTTCAGGAAAGAGCAAGAGAAACAACATTTTCAAATATAAAGGGTGGTAGAGCCATCGAGAATCACAGAGATTGGAATGAGGAATGCCATGATTCAAAATAGTGAGACAGACATCTTGCTTCTGCCCTGATCTCACATAACAATGCCCTGCATATCAACAGAAAATCCCAACTCGGTGTGTCTGCACACAACACTCTTTAAACCTGGTAAGGGAAGGGATATACAAGTAGTATTTGGATCAAGTTGTCTGAAGCAGTGTGGTGTCTTTCAAAAATGCTACCCTAAAGCCTAGGGCTAGTTCAACATTCAAATTATCATGGCTGGAGACACACATACTTTCTACACACTATAAGGGCAAAGTGAATTTTCCGCAATATTTGTAGCAAAATATATGACTCTGTACTTCTGCTAGGTTAAAAAATTCCCAACCTCATTTGACTCCTGGAAACTTTCTTGATTTAAAGAAAACATGGGGGTGAGTGGGAACAATGTAATGAATGTCTGGAACGCAGGCCCCTGCAGCCCACCGGGGTGGTGAAAGCTTCTAGCAGGGGCTGATGCTAAAACCTACTCTAATTTCAAACAGCTGCAGAGAAGGTGTCTTTAGCAGCTGTATAGCACCTTGTACATTTTGGGCACTTAAAATACTAAATGATGGTCATGATGACTGGTAAACACCTCTGTAGGAAGGTTTATAAAAACTATTATAATTTGTTAAGAATTTTCCCCAGAGTTCTCTAAACAAACCCACTGAATCTACCACATCTTTTAAAAAATCCTCAGCCCTCAGTACCACATGGATATGATGTTTCCAAGCTGAAGTTTACACAATAGCCATAGTCATAACAAGGGGAGAGGAAATAGTTCCTTCTCCTTAAATACTGGGGAACTTGATAATTTGCCCAAAGACTTTCATCATCACATCTCCTTCTCCCTTTCCCCCCTCATACAAAAAAAAAATGGATTTGTTTAAAAAAAAAAAATACTTTTTTTGAGGTTGGATTATTTTATTAACCAAATACCTTGACATGGACTGTATATGAACTCCCCTCCATGGCTTCTGTTCTAGCCCAACATCGCCACTTCAGCAGCAGCAGGACAGAGGGCTTGCTTCCTTGGGTACAATCTCTGCCTGGGCTCCTGCACTGCAGCTCCTGTGCTTCTTGTGTGGCATCACTTAGGTCCATGGAGTGCCCACTTTTGGCACTGATATAAGCATGGACACCTGGACTTCTGTGCACACTTCAACGAGAGCAGCAATTCGATTTGCCTCAGCACAGCACTTTGGGCCTTTGAGAATATGAGCTACAATGAGGTTTTGTGGGTAGCCATCCTATTCACTCATTAAAGTGTACCAGAATTTTCAATCCTTATCAACTAGTGAGGGGAATAAAAACATGTCAGAGCTGGCCTAGGGAGTCAAGTTCCTCTTTCCCCTCTCCAAGTATATTCATACTTTAGTTACACATCTAGAATCATCTGGAATGTAGTGTAGTATCATAAGTCTATCCCAATTTCTAGGACTAGCCTGTATTTTTTCAGATCACTGCTGGTAAGATCTAGGGGAAAATCCTGGTTGCAGGTTGCCAGCAAAACCAAGTCAGGTTACTTCCCAGCACCAAAGTATTCTTAACAAAAATTTGGGAAGCTGAGTGGAATCTTTCTATGCCCTACTACTTAGTAGGTCCCAAAGATCTTTCGTGGAAATTTTGTAATGCTGAAAACTTGAAATACAATTTTAGGTAGCTCTACAAACAGAATTATGTTCACAAACTTATTGTGTGTGTGAAAGCAAAACTGACCTCCACTTAATTTGACAATGAAAAGCTACTCGGACTCTTAAAATCCCAACAAGAATATTTTACTTTTAGCCCCTCAATATCAGTAGTGTGGGCATTTGTGCCCCTTTCTGTACCTCACCTAGTTCATCTTCAGAGGGCAAAACTTGAAACCCACTGCCATACTCCTTCTTCCAATCTTAACTTAGCTTAGGGGCTGGTGGACCTCATTCATTATTCTTTTATTGTTGATTCCACAGGTTACAATTGTTCTTTTTCCCATCCTTCAGTTACTCTTCATGAGCTAGTGTGTGGGCTTTGCAGTACTATACCAAAGGGGCTCTTCTCAGGCAAGCATGGAAGAGATCTGGTAGTCCTAGTTCTCTTTGTGGAACATCTGATCCTCTTCCTTCCAAGACCAGATTATCACTCTACCAAGGCACTCCTATACATTCATTCTTGGTCTTGGCTACTCCAGCAATTGTCCTATTTCTCCAGCACCCAGATGAGTCAGAGAGATTGTTCTTGCTCATGTGGCTTAGGGAAAAGTTCCAACAGCAGCTTAATTGTTCAAACTCTCAAAATAAATGTAAGAAACCATAGTACAGACTTCAATAGAAAAGAAAAAAATTTCCAATCAATATTAAAAACAGTAACTCCAAGTTACTTGAGAAAACTTAAAGTGCTATACTAGTCACAGTCTAAACCCATACACACACACACACACGCCTGTCTTTGTCTAAGAATAGGGTTTCTTTTCAGTTGATGAATTCCAAGTTCCTACTACAATTAAAATAGAAATGTAATATATATATTTTTTTTTCTTGAGATATTAGATTGACTAAATTTCATTATTGTGGAAAGATATTCTTAGGACCACATGATGAGTACTTCTTGCCCAGACATAAGTTATTTTGTCTATTTATTTGGCTCTAACCTGTAACCCCACCTTCCCTCTCTCCCTCACATTCTTTGGCCAGAGAAAAATTAATGTAATCCCTGTCTCTGGAAAGCCTGAGGCCTATCTATGACTAGTTGGCATTTTTCTTTTACCCTTAACAAATCTGAATATAAAAACAGTACTAAACATACCTGATATGAAGGGGTGCTTGGTTTACCAGTGCTATATAATATATTGGTGGGAGTGGGTGCCCGTGCTTATAATATTACAGACTTAAAACGAAGAAGACTAGATCCAGGTCAAAAAGGAATGAAGGAAGGAAGGAAGGAAGGAGGGAGGGAGGGAGGAAGGAAAAGAATACCCAAGTAACAAATAGGGGGACCAGGAAACTTTCTTCATTAAGTGTAAAACCTCATTAAATAGTCAACATTCAAATTTACATGGGCAAGGCACAAGAGTGACATTGAGAAAGTGTCTCAATATGCAAACCATCAGGAAATGGGAGGGATGAGAGGGGGAGGCTGGTAAGGGAATGTGTTAGCTGACATGGTCAGTGGTCTGTGTGCTATTTCAGTGTATAATTAGGCAAGGAGTTATGTGCACATGGGCTATGCTAAGATGAACCAAACCAGTCTGTTAGGCAAGGCCCTGCCATGCCACAGAACACTGAGAGAAAGTGGGCTACTGGCCTGCAGTGCCATGCACACTCTGTGGCCATCCCTTGGGGCAGACCTCTGCACTCTGGCTAGAGGAGGCACTCTTTGTGGGCTACCCGGTTCTCTCCTTCTAGAGTCCTATATTGCTGGCCAGGAGGACAGGGACAGCCTCCAAATGAAGGCTCATATATCCCATTCTCAAAAAAAGAAAAAAAAAGGGACCATAAAATACATTCTTTTCTGTTCTTGATCCTCTTTGATACAGGTGAATCACATGAAAGGCTATTAACAATGTGAAAAACTAAGATATTTCCAAAGGCCACTTATGTGCTATCTAAGTAATACTGCAAAGCCAGTCCTGACTTTAAGAAACCCTGCATTGGGAGACGAGTCCCAAGGGCTTCCTTCCTGACTAGGTACAGAGAACATGTCTATCAACCCTGCCACGGATGGCTTCCCCGGAGGCCTGGACTCTCTGTACTTCCAGCACACATGTACACACACAGGCACAAATGTGTATGGACACTTACATTGTCCGAGTGACTTTTGGGATAGCAAGATTTAAGTAAACAGATACTCACAGTTTTGAATAAAATAAGCGCATACACACTCACACACCCCTATGGAAGGAACACTTGATTTTTAGCACAAATATGTGCCAAGGGAAGAAGGGGAGGATTTTTATAGATCTTGCTTCAGGTGAAGTTGCAACATAAACACTGTAATACACAGCTAAAAAATACATTAAAAAATTGCACATATATCCATAGGAAAGGAGCACAGACCTCACATATGGTGAAACAGCTTTCAGCCACTAACCTCAGCAATCAAAATTCTCTGTGAGCTGTCCTCCAGAGCTATTTCAGAGTCATAAGCAGCAATGTGCCAGGGCAGCTGAGAGGCAATTTCTCCAGCAAAGGTCAGCATCCTGAGGAGAAGGTCAGTAGTCTTATCCATGGCCTTCTCCCCTCTCCTGCCTCTGGCCATTATAATAGCCATCTGCGCCATGCCCTCCAAGGAGATCTTAAGAGCTCAACTGACAGCTGTTTCATTCAGGGCAGTTGTCTATAGCATTTGGTAGACTAGTTAATACTAGCTATTGATAGAAGAAAGCTGGCCAGTTATTGCTTGGGGGAAAAGTTGTCATCTGGGCACCACTATTCCTGGCTGCCAACTCTGACAGTAATCAAAGAATGGTACTTTAAATTTTGTTCCCCTGATGGTCCCTAGAGAACTGCACATGCAGGGAAAACAGCTCCTTCTGTACTGCCAGCTGTTTATAAGACCTAAACTGCATTCTGCCCCGGTGAGGCATGGGTGACACCACCTTGGGTCAGCTCTGCAATATGCCACAAGAGGCCAAGAAACACAGACTTCACTGGCAAGTGGGGACAGATTCAAGGTGAAGAAAAATTGGACAGTGGCAGCAGAGGGGAGACTGTTACAGCTACCATCCATGCAGTGCACCCAGTTATTGATAATTGAAATGAAAATGGGTCCATGACCCAAGGGATGGGATCTCTCCTTGTACTTCTACTATCTGCTGAAATAAGGAATATAGTCCCTGGAACCAAAACTGGGTGGACACTAAGGATAGCAGTTCTGCCTGGTAACAGGAAGAAAGCCTGTTGTGAGAGCTAAGTGGATGATGATAAGAATTGGTTAAATCTATCTCTGGCTAGTGAGAATAAGTACTTGGTGTGAAAAATCTGAAAATCAGAATTATGGAAGAACTGGACATAGGTCACAGAGTTCATACCGAAGAAGCTGTCCCTTCAAAAATGTTCATTTTCATTTTTTACCTGAATTTGTGGGACAGTTAGGGTGAAAGGTGTTCCAATGGAAGGCAACTGAATGTTTGTGCAGTCGAATTTCTGTGAAGTTAAGAGAGACTCAGCTTCTCACTTGATTTAGAGCTGTGGATAACCTTTCTGAGTAGACTTCTTTGTTCATGAACAGGGATGAACAGTTTGTCTCTCTTTTTTCCTTGAATTCTGTGTGAGTACTAGAATGGGGAAGTGTGTGGGTGACTTGAAGAAGGTGAAAATGAAGTAAAAGCAGGAACCAGGATACATTAACGGTGTTGCAGGATTTTCACAATAGAACTGAGGGAGTCTGGAGTAGCAAAAGCCAAATACTGAGCACAAAGCCAATCCTCAAGGCCGACCCTATCATCCCTGTCCAAGGACTTCTCAGCAAACTTGATCATCAGCAATGTTCGCTTGATGTCCAGCCAGTTTTGAAGCAGGGCATTCCTCTGCACTGGGCTGGGGGTGGTGCTAAAAGTCTGGAAGAGATCTTCCCGGGGACCCCAGAGCAGACACTGGAGGACACCTTTGGCATCTGAAATGAGGATCCGCTCAGAAGGGCTGGGGTTCAGGAGGCAGCTGGCCAGCTGCTGAAGGCCCCAGGAATAGGGGGAGCGGAGTGGGATTCGAGGCAGGTCTGCTCGAGTGTATTCTTTCTCCTTCAGCTCTGGGTTCTCATCAAAGGGGTTGGGCAGGTGTAGCATCTCATAGATGAGGATGCCTGTCTGGAACTCATCACACTTTTTGTACTGGGTGGCTGTTATGATCTCTGGGGCAAGGCGGGACTGGTCCCGGAGGATCTCAGAGTCCACCAGGTGGCTTTTCTGCTTGGCCTGAGAGAAGTTGCTTATTATCAGCTTCGTGAGATAAGATGAGGTGGGATTGGGTTCTGCAGGCCCAAGGCCATGGGTGGTTACCCTGGGCTGGTAGTGGACAAGCAGCAGATTCTCCAAACGCAGATCGCAGTGAGTAACGTGGTAGGGTTTGAGATGCTCAAGGCCGGAGCACAGCTGCAAGAGAAGCAGACACACTTGCCTCTCATATACATCGGGGCTTTTCCCATGCTGGGCCAGAGAGTCTTTCACAAAATCAGCCATGGTGAGATAGGGAACCTCTCTGGTGATGACCACAACGTGACTTCTCTGCTTCTTGCTAATAACTCCCTGACTTTCTTTCTGGGATGACTCTGCTTCAGAGCAGGGTTCTGGGCTTTTCCCATCACCTTCTTCTTTCATTTCTTCTTTCTCTTGCATTTCATCCTCTTCCTCTTCAGGGGCATCAGGATCCTCCCAGGGAAGCAGACGCTTAGGGACTTCAGCAAGGAAATGTCCACAGTCCTGCTGGATGTTAAAATGGACAGCCAGACTCTGCCGAACAGCCAAGCTGTGATAATACTGCTGAGATTCTTTAGCTTTGCTCTTACATATCTGAAAAAAGAAAACATATAACACAATTTAAAATACACACCCTTTTATAACCAGGCTTATGATGATGTGTAAAGAAGGACTGACGGGGAGGTGACTGGTTAGGAATAGAGTGTTATAATGAAGTCATCAGAAATGGTCTTGGTACTCTTGTGCTGAGTGACAGGAATAATGGCAGTAACCACTTCTTAAGGCTGTCTACATGCTAAGCACTTTAAGTGTATTATCTCTAGTTCTCACACTAACCCTTCAAAGAAGGCTGAGTATCTAAGAAATTTTTTTAAAAAGAGGGCAGGGCAGCCCAGGACTACCAGATAGTAAACCTAACTCTGTCCAACATCAAAGCTTGCTCTTTCCACTATACCCTGTCCCTCATCTAGAAAAGAAAACAACATAAGTAATTTTTTTTAACCGACTTTCTGTGGAGGTTTGCAGCCAAGGCTTAAAAAACAGCTCAATAAATGGCTCATAAAGTAGGCCAAGATACCTTATTTTATCACTTGTCAGGAGAGTGACATGCAATTGGCCAGGTAAACTGCAGGTTTACCTAACTTTTCAATGGATGCCATGTGATGGTTACAGCTTAGGCACTCATGATCATTGGCAAGATAGAGATAAAGGCTTCAGAGAATCACTGATCTGACCTAGAAAGAGCAAAACCAACATTTCAAAGACAGGATTCTGAGTTGTATCTTTTCTCTTAACAGACCCCATTTAAGGCCCAATATTCAGGCAATGAGGCCTTCTAAAACAAACTGTATTATGGGGTTATGGATCAAGGAAGAGTTTTCTGTTCAAAAACATTGGCTAGAGGTTCTACATACTAAATCAACTACTGTATTTCTAGTGTAAAGGGTTAAGAAAGCAAAAAATAAAATCACTGCTAAATGGATTATCCTCATGCTATGAGATAGAGAAGCTGACAATGGAGGACTCAGTCTGTAACACTAGGTTCATAGGTCATTGTAACCTAGTCAGGATGGCTCCTCTGCAACCTGTCCACTGAGGAACACATTTTCTACTCTCGCTCCTCAGCAGGAGTACATTACTTGCCATACTTCAGAGATAACAAGGCCTCCAGCAATAGGCACTCTGCAGGGCTTACACTGCTTGTTTATAGTAGTACTTTAGAAAAGAAGTAGATTTTTAAAAGATTCTCTAGTCATTTTTATTTAAAAAGAAAAAGGTACACATTCTTTGGAGGGTCCCCAGTTCTGAGAAGCAGCATACTCTTGTTTCCATTCAAACAGATACTAAAAAAAAACAAACCAACCCCAAAAACCCAAAGGCAAAGGAGTATCAGTGGATAGGAGCATCCCTCTATCACTTACTGTATTTATACACATTGATTATAGTTGGAGGCTTGAGCACTGACACAGAAATCCATCTTTTTCTCTCTCTCTTTGAAAACAAATTTTTTTCAAGTCTTCTACCATCTACCTAATCAGTTTTAGGGCATCATGAGCATTTCTTTTTTAAACAAACTTCTGAACTTGAAACAGAGATCTCCCCAGGCTGAATTCAAGTTCAAACACAATCTTGCAGAAAATATTATCTTTAGAAAGCTCTCAAAGCCTCAACATATGCAGTATAACATATAATCCTATATGTTCATCGGTCACAATGTGAATTCTTTCTGTACTGTACTACTGACAATATTTCATGATTTGTGTCACGAGGTATTTAAAAATCCTGTACTAGTCATTATTTCATTGTGTGGAGCTGGAGCTGGGGCACAGCACCATTAATTCCATTTATAGTTTTAATACTTTTCCCAATATCACATGGCCTGTTCAGCTCCTCAGTCCTGAAAAGTCAATCAAATAGCACTGAGTCTGGCTGAATAAAATTGTGTAGTTAAATTCTAGTTGTCACATGATAGAAAGGACACTCACCAAGGATTTAGGAAGCCTGGGATTTAGCTCTGCGACTAGCTGTGTAACCTTGGGCATTTCACTTAATTTCTCTGGGTTCCAGTCTCCCCAATAAAGGAGATAATATTAAGAATACTGAAACCTATTTCTTAGCGCAGTGGTGAGGATTAAATGAAATCAAGTATGTAGAGTATATCTGTAAATCTCAAAGCTATACAAATGTAAGACTGATAATGACAAAAACAAATAAGTTACAAACAAAAAGTACAAGACAGAAAAATGCATACTTCTTTTGAGTCCTGAGAGTCTCTTGCCCAGGCAGTGAGACCATGGGTTTGGTAGAAGGCAGCTAAAGTTCAACACCTGCATGCCAGGGTCAGCCCTGACAAACAAGTTAAGAACAGCAGTATGTTCTGATCTAAGACAGACCAATATAAGGCTTAGAGAGAAAGGACTATTTGCCAAATTTTAGTTTTCACTATGAAGTTACAGTTTGGGGGGTGGGGAACAAAACCCTGCCACATTGTGGTTTGGATTTAGAAACAAAGAAGATATTTTAATTGTGACTACTATTCAGTGATATTCTAACTGTATTTACACACACACACACACACACACACACACGTTTTTATAAGACTCCCCAGAGCTTTGTGAGTAGATAAGAACATGGATACTACAATAAGAATTCATGTTTAGCACCCCGGCTGGCATGGCTCAGAGGGTTGAGTGCTGGCCCGTGAACCAAAGGGTTGCCAGTTCAATTCCCAGCAGGGCACATGCCTGGGTTGCAGGCCAGATCCCCAGTAGAGAGTGTGCAAGAGGAAACCACACGTTGATGTTTCCCTCCCTCTCTCTCTAAAAATAAATAAATACATCTTTAAAAATAAAAGAACTTATGTTTAGTTTCACAGATCAACTTGAGATAAAGCTTCAGATAAAGACTTGAGATAAAGCTTCAAAGTCAGATAAAGCTTGAAAGCTTGAGATAAGGCTTCAAAGTCAGATAAAGACTTGAGATAAAGCTTCAGATAAAGATTTGAGATAAAGATAAAAGTGATTAATGAAGAAGGAATGATTAAACTGCTCAGCCATTGTGGATGCTCTAAAAGAAAATTAATCTGCCTAGAAAGCCAATCTGAGGAGATGACACTCCCTCATCTCTTCATTTTACAATATGTAGAAAGGCTGAAGAATAATGGGTCACTCTAGTTTTGAGGGCAATGGAAAAAGGGAGAAGACTGGAGTGTGAAAGTGGGAAACAAAATACTAGGGCTTTTAAGTGGCACATGATCATGAAAGCAGTTACAAGCAAAACACAGACCTATAGAGGGCTCCATAATAGGATTTCTCAATAGGATGTGGATCTCATCAATCTTTATTATGGAGCCTGCAATGATGTTAATTTAGGTAACAGTATTATATTATTCTATGAACTTTATAGAAGCTATTTTTCAAACATTAGTAACTTGACTCCTTTTGACTCAGGGGAGGGGGAATACACCTACCACCTTCCCTGAAGTCTGAAAGGCACCTGCCATGGGAGATGAAGTCATAGCCCTCTGTTTCTGCCCGGAGTCCTCTCAAAAATAGTCAGGTCAGTGAATAGTCTAAGATTGACAGCAGGACAGCGGGCAGAGGTAGGCAGAGGCAGATCCAGCAGTGACTTGGGAAGTCTGCTCACATACCCCAGGTCCCAGTGCTGATAAAAGCCAGTTTTGCAGAGCAGCTTGGCCCACCATGGGAGCAGCTAAGCATGAAGGAATCAGTCACAAGCTGCGTATCACGTGTAGCTTTGATAAAGCAGCTGAGGGCGAGACATGGACAGGACCTGACACTAGCTACCACCAGACTCAGACATCAGAGTAGTTTCCAAAGAGAGAAACCAGCAGGCAAGACATGAACTCTGCTGAGACAAATCCACTTGGTTCTTTTTTCATTATCTTAGCTATTTTTCTTTTTCATTATTTCTTTTTAAATTATTTTTCATGTATTTTTTTCCTTACTTTATTTTATTTTCTTTCTGGTGCTTTAATTTTTCTTTCATATCTCCTATTCTACCCTTATCTTTGATTCCTCCATTGTTCCCATCTTCTCTCCTTTTATTATTTTGTTACTTTTTCTGTTTTCCTCTTCCCTGTTTTTCTCTATCAGTTCTAGTATCACTGTATTTCGCCATGTATAATGCACACATTTTTTGCCCAAATTTTTGAGCGAAAAATAAGGATGCACATTATACATGGGCATAATGATTACTTACCATAGGCACAATAATACCATGTATAATGCACACAAAATGTAGGTGCATATTATACATGGCAAAATACAGTAGTTCTCTTCCTCTTCTCCTCTCACAATCACTTTGCTTTTCTTCAGTCTTCTCATACTGTTTTTCCTTTTCCCCTTTATCTACTATTCCATTTCTTTCCACTTTTATTATTCTCTGTCTTCTTGTTGTCAACATTGCTATTGTGGTTGAGGAGGGTTGCTTGTTTTAGTGTAGTTATTGTGTTGTTTTGCTTCATTCTACCAGTACCTATACAATGGCGTACAACATGCAGTCATGGTTGAGCCTCTTAGCCAGCCAGAGAGGAGTTCCCATCAACAAATGGACCAATAACAATCAGGACCCAAATACAAGAGGAGAGTCCACATAGCCCACACAAGGAACCTTCCCGGAGCATCCATATCAGGAGATTGAGGAGTCTGCACCACTCGGTCCCACAGGACTCCTAAGACATAAGGCCACTCCACAAGACATCAAAGCAGATTAATCTAATACACAGAAACAAACACAAAGAGACAACTAAAACAAGGCAATAATGAACCATCAAGTGAAAGAAAAGGAGGAATACCCAGAAAAAGAGCTATGAAATTGAGGCAAGCAATTTATCAGACATAGTATTGAAACTAATGGTTATAAGAATGCTCAAGGAACTTAATAGGAACATCAGAATGGAAAAAGGGACTTAGAAGCCTTGAATAAGAACTGGTTGGAAATGAAGAATGCAATATGAAGAATGGAGAACACCCTAGAAGGAATTAAAAGCAGGCTTGACAAAGCAGAGGACTAAATCAGCTAGCTGGAAAGCAAGGTAGAGCAACAAAATTAAAAAAGACTCAAAAGAACAA